AGTACACAAAACAGGGGTATTTTGGTCATTTGGGTTTATCTATTTGAGAGTGAAAGGTCTGTTTTATTTAAGTTTAAGTTATGTGTCCCATCACTTATGAGGGACAATATGGTCTTTCTTGTAACTATGTTATTGGAGATAAATACAAGTGGGTCGACTAGAGAGAGGAATGATTTTTCCTCTACTGGTCAAGCCCTTCTTCTTCTTCTCCTTCTTCTCTATTGTAACCTAGGACTAAATAAGGTTTTCACAGTTTAAAGCAATTCAGGTGTCCAATTTGATGTGTGGTGTGAACTTTCAAAACATTGTAGATCAACTTATCCTATAAGTAATAAAAGAAGCATTGTTCCTTTTAAAGTTGTGCATACGGATATTTGGGTGCCTTATCATATTACTGATATGGGGGGGTTATAAATACTTTTATTATTTGTAGATGATTATTCTTGTTTTTATGGATTTATCTTATGCACTCTCAAGATGAGGTTCCCACCTTGACTCATTTTTTCATCAAATAGTCCTTACACAAATTGGCATTAGAATTAAAATCTTCAAATTTGACAATGCCAAGTAATATTTTACTAAACCCTTCACTACGTACTTTCTTGAGTATGGGATTATCCATCAAAGTACATGTCCTCACACCCCCTAGCCCTAGAAGAATGGAGTTTCTAAGGAAGAATAAATACATCCTTGAAGTCGCCAAGTGTATTTTGCTGAATTCAAATGTTCCTATTCATTTTTGGGGGGTATGCAATTCATACTTGTGTTAATCTCATTAATAGAGTTCCTTCTCAGATTCTGGGTATGAAAACTCTTGTTGACAATTTATGTTTCTTGTTATTTTTTCTATTATGTACAATCATCCAAATTCAAAATAGATACATCGAGGGATTTATAGAGCAAGAAACTGATAGTAGAAGCCAAGCATAAAATAAAGAATTGGGAAGAGCTACATGAAGCCTTGAAAACAAATCTGAATACTGAGGGAGAACTTATGATTACCCCTTTTAGCGCCTGCAAGGCGATCCTAGATCTCTCAATCCCTTTGAGAGATTTCTTCACAACCCAGTTCCAAACTAAAGAAGGCCTTGTAAATGTTTACATGGTTGGAGTCCAGGCACAATTTCCATTGATCTTGAGGAAAATCCCTTGGTGAAAATTGTGGAACTACCTTTCCATCTCTGGTCATTTCCAAATGTCCAGAGGATTGCCCAGCTCTGTGGCAATGTGCTTGCAGAAAAGAACACTGCAAACCTCCGAGCAGCATCTCTCAAGTTGCTGAGGATTAAACTGCAGAACATACCGCGGATGATCAAAGCTATGGTAGAAGATATAGCTTACCAAGTATGGACATTGATGGCAATGCAGATGGAGCCCTGGAAGGAGGCAAAGGAAGAAGACGATGATGTGGTACCCCATCAGTTGGACTCCCCCAAGTTCAGGTTTTGTAAAGTTGAATTTTGATAGCTGGACCCTTGGGAACCCTGATTTGGCAGGTATTGGAGGAGTCTTTAGAAATGATGATGGAAATATTGTGGCTTTCTTCTCGGGCCCTATAGAGATGGAAGATTCCCTTAAGTAAGAAGCATAGGCAATTAACATGGGGTAAGAAAAGCCAAAATCATGAATCTTACAAACTTGACTGTCGAAGGGGAGTCAAAAATAGTAATTGGTTGGATAAGGAGAAACCAGGAGCCTCCTTGGAAGTATGGATATGCCGTAGGAGAAATATAAAAATGTCATATGTGAGCTGGGACCAAATGTTTTGTTGATTCCAAGATCTGCTAATGGGTTGGCTGATCATTTGGCAAAACGAGGAGCCACAAGGGACAGTTTGTATTGAGGAAAAGTGGTGTAACTGTAATACTGTTTTGCTGTTTTCCTGTCTTTATTCACATTTTGGTGGTGTTAGCCAAGGCTAACAATGCCAGTGGGTGTACTTTTACAGTAAAACATTTTAATGTTCTGTCAGTTATCCATCAAAAAAAAATAAAACAATATAAAAGTTCAACCAGAAGTACCAGCATTTAAAGATGCAAAAAAGAGTATTACCATGAAAGCAAGAGCTTGTAATCCTGCTGCACGTACACTTAGAGTTCTTTCACTATCTCCAAATTCTTGAGCAAGTTCACAGAGCTTTGGGATGAGACCTTCTAAATTAAACATGTATGTGCTATCTGTCTACTTTCAAATCATATCAACAAGTCAGTTTTAATCCAATTAATACTTTGTCATTAAGGAATGAGTCATGCATTCATTACCGACATCAGTAAATCTAGACTTCATAAGAAATCATCAAAATGCAGCAGAAGCATTTTCTACTATCATAAACTTGACAGTTGACTAAAGGAATAGGAAATCTTCAGGGCAGGAGCTATCGAATGGTTGGTCCCTATTCAAACAAGTCATAGGACTTGAGCTTGAGTTTAATCCTTTAAAAGTAGAATGTACCTGGCTATTTATAAAGTCTACAAGAGTCTGGCAACCGAGAATACGCATTTCATCCTGTCGTGATTGCTCTAAAAGAGTTCGAACAATACATAGTATGCTACTGGCAAATAGAGGCCTGAAAGCATTGAATGGAACCGATGGATGTCATATAAAGATAAACAAGATACACTTTCCAAGATGAGAAAAAACTAGTAGAAACTAATGAATGGAACTTGTTCTTTCATAGAAGGAAAAGTATGAAGGTTTATCAATAAGGCAATAATAAGGATTAATGGCAAACTAGTAATATCTATTTCAATAGTTCAATATACTAGATGATACAGAATTACAGATGTCATATGATTCCTTGTCTCTTCAGGCTGTAATCTACCACATTATGTCACCATATAAATCAACAAAGTTCTGCTCTGCTGATATTCAACCAACCAAACTTGCACCTCTAATTGAATAGAGATCCAACACACCTAAAACCTCAAACAGGGACAAAATATGACATAGTAGAACAAAGTTGTGCTATGCCATTCTCTTAAACAGCAAAAGTAAAGATTCGCTTGTCTATATTTCAGTTTCTTACAGACTTACAACCATCTGATATGGTTGATTTTTCCATGAAAGATTTCTAGGATAGGAAAAAAATTAAGGGGTCCAACACAACTGCATATGAACCAAATGTACAGTCATGTCATTGATAGACCATCTTCACCTTTTAGAAAGATGACCAAAAGAAGGTTCGTCTGAGATGTTTACGCACTTACAGGAACATGCATAGAGTTAATAGTAGTGTTCTTGCACAAAACAATGGAAAGAAGTACAAAGAAGAAAGACAAAAGAGAAAGTTGAAGGAAGAATTTATAGAAATTTCCTTAATTACAAGAATTAAGAGCTAACCTTGTAGAGCTGGTGATGAAACAAAGCAGTAATCTTTGAAAGAAACAGGTGGAGTCGATGGTGACAAGAGGAGAGTTCGTGATGGTGGCTAAGTGGAGAAGAGAGTTACAGGTTGAAGCTAAAAAATTTATCTGAGGAACACAGGAACCAGGGTCAAAGAGCATTGAAGATCAGGGAAGATAGAAAGGCTACAGTGTTCTTGGTCAGAGAAACAGCAATACAATGGTTGCAGGGCTTCGTAGGCGGAGCAATACTCTCTATGAGAAAGCAATGTTGGAAAAGTTCATTGGCTTCCTCAAATTTCAGGTATGAGGTGATGCTACAATGGAAAAAAAAATATATATATATCTTTGGGGAACACAGGAACCAGGGTTAATGGGCATTGAAGATCAGGGAAGATAGAAAGGCTACAGTGTTCTTGGTCAGAGAAACAGTAATACAATGGTTGCAGGGCTTCGTAGGAGCAATACTCTCTGTGAGAAAGCAATGTTGGAAAAGTTTGTTGGTTTCCTCAAATTTCAGATGTGAGGTGATGCTACAATGAAACAGGAGGGAATGGTTTGTAACAGTTACAGAGGAATTCAAAGAAGGGAAGAACAATTGGTTTGTTTGTCGGAAGGGAAGGAGAGCTGCGGATGGAAGGTGATTACAGAGACTTTGTAAACTTACCTGGTTCATATCAAAAAACAACATGGGGATGAAGAGCTGAAGGAAACTCTAGTTGGAGGTGTTGGGTCTCAGGAGAGATATGAGTTCCCAACTCCCATGAAAGATGATGAGCCTGGCTCCAGCAATGAAGTTGAAAAAGATAAGAAGTTGGTGCTAGTTTACCAGCTCACAAACATCACTCAGAGTCTTGATGGAAGTGGAGAAAGAAAATGGGAGAAAATGTATTTAATAACTGAAAAAGAGAAGGTGAACGTGTTGGTCAGTCCTTGACTAAATGATAAAAGAGTTTAAGATAAAAAATACTGCATCTTTACAGTGAAAACAGAACCATCGTAGACTTTGGCATTGAGAAGATAGATGTCTCAACAGTGAGAACAGGGGAAGGCCAGAAGTTGATTGAGAGGTGGAGCATGTCGTCTAATGAAGTAGATATTGATGAATAGCGAATGGTAGTGAAGGTGATGGAGATGCTGTTCAACCTTTGGAAAGAAGACATTCTAGAAAAAAATCATAGCAGTGATGGGAGGAACCTTAGAAGATTATAGTTTTGCAGACCTGTTTGCAGTGATGATTAAGATTTTTAGCATGAAACCAGACTTAATCCCTCAACCATGCAGTCTTTTGGTCAAAGGAAGACGGAAAAAAAAACTGTGGACTGCGATGGGAGTTGAAGCATTGCTATGGTTGTCAAGAGCTTGAAGACAACAATGAGCTGGCTAAATGGTTCCCAAGTGGCAGCAGGAGGCTGGGGAAAGAGGAGAGGAGGGAAGGAAGAACAGAAATAGAAGGGGAACAGTTGTTTCGGTCGATCAAGAATTAGGGGCAACCATAAATGAATATTTTTCAAATAATTTAAAATGAATAAGAGTGTGGCCCATGTGACTCTTTAAACAGTCATGTGGGCTATAGGGGTTGTTATTCAACTGGGGATGGTAAACAAGGTCTATAATCTTCGAAGCTGCTCAACAAAAGTTCTAAGGCCAAATCTGGTTCCAGACTTAACTAGTAATGGATTCCAAGGCAAAGAGAGGACAAAAAGGGCCAAAGTAGGTTACAGGATGATCGCCCTAACCCAAGATACACAAGAACCAGGTCAGAGGAGAAAGAAATGGTGGACAGAGGATGGATCGATACAACCTCGTAAATTCATAGTGTTGGAATAAATGAAGAGATTGAAGATCTTGAAGGTGACTACCACATCAAATAATTGTTTGATGGTAATATAAAAGAAAAGGGAATAACACCTCTTTGAATTTCTGCGAAGGTCAAGGACGGCTTGGATGTTGGGCAAGTAAACCTTAGGCAAAACAAGGAAGATTCACTCCCTAATAAAAGAGCTCCGCAGGATGTATGCAAATAAGTTATCGAGGGTTGCCAGTGGCATTCTGGGGAGTGGCCAGAGAGGAGTAAGCTACAGAGCTCAGGAAGTTGCAAGAAGAACATGTATCTGAGATTATCTCACAGCAGGACCAAACCAGGAAAGACAGTGACCCCTCTTCTTGTGCCCCAGGAAAAGTTTCAAAACCTTCCCTTGAATCACCCCTAGGTATGAAAGTGTTTTCGGTTTTGGGTACTACGGATTTGGGTCCTTTGTATGCAACCTTTTCTCCAGGTAACCAATCGTCAAGCAAGATGCTAGCCATGGATGCAAGAAAGGAGGGGAGGGGAAGTGAGGTTAATTTTCTAGAAGAGGAGGAATTGGGGAAAAGGATTTGGGACCTAATTGAACAATCATTGGAAGAGTTGAAGAGAAAGGAAATGGAAAAATATAAAATAGATGATCAAGAAGGTAGTAAAGAGGAGTCGGAACCAGGTTCAATAGAAGGCAGGTTGAATAGAGGGGTAGAAATTATGGGGGAAAAAGGAAGAAGACTCGGTGACAAAGTTCATAGCGAAGCTTGGGTGTAAGTAAAGGTTCCTACTGATGTGAACTGATATAAGAACCAAGAAAACTGAGGGGAAGGAGAGGAAAAGGAAACTGAGTGAGGCTGAGAGGCCGAAATTAAATGTGGAAGGTGACAAGGAATTCAATGAGAGGAAGGGCAGAAGAGGGGGGGGGGGGTAAATAAATTGGGTGCATGTGAAGGCTATACAAAACTTGTAGTTTATAAATGACGATGATCAGCTGGAATGTTCGAGGGTTAGGGAGTGCAAGAAAGAGAGCAATGATAAAGGATATGCTTAAGAAAGAGAAGTCGGATGTTGTTATGTTTCAAGAATCTAAACTATCCACATTCGATGATAGATAGCAAGAAGTATTTGGAGGGCTAGGGGCATAAGTTGGGCATTGGAAGAAGGATGTGATGCAAGGAGTTGAGGAAATTGGTGGGGAAATTCATAGTGTCAATCAAGTTCCGACAGGAGAATAATGGGTTTTAACAAACAGTTATGGGCTTAATGGATACAAAGAGAGAAATTAAATGTGGGAAGAGTTAGAAGATATACAGGGTTTGTGGGAAGGACCGTGGTGGATTGGAAGGGAAGGACAGGGTTCTTGATCAGTCTTGTAGAGATAGCAGAATTTGGAAACCTTCCCCTTCTGATTTTTTCAATTGCTCTTCTCTCTATAATATTTTGCTTCAGATCTTTAACCTTGTACGGAACTTTCCTTCAAAGAAGGTGTGAGGTAGCCCTGTACCCCCAAAAATTCAGGCCTTTTGCTGAGAAGCGGCACTCCAAAAAATCAACACCTTGGATTTATTGCAGAAAAAGAGGCCAAATATGTGCCTCTCCCCCCATGTTTGTTGTCTCTGTTTGGGTTCTAGTGAGACAATTTCACATTTACTAATCTCATGTCCCTTTGTGTTCTTTATTTGGTCTTGGTTATCTTCTCTCTTTGGCTGCAGTTGGACTCCCTCCTCGAGCGTGGTGAACCTCTTTGATCCAGCTTTCTGCAGGCAACCAACAATTCAAGGAAGGATTATGTGGAGAGCCAATAGAGCTGCTGTATTGTGGTCAGTGTGGGAGGAAAGAAACAATAGGATCTTCAAAGGTAGTTGTAGATCCAAGGAAGAGGTTGTGGAAGGARTAACTACTAAGGTTATCCATTGGTTGAAATCCTGTGATCTTTTTAAGCATTTCTCAGCTGAAGACATTTATAGAAGTTGGGGTATTGTGGCATCTACTACTACTTCCAAAGCTATGATACAGGAAGTTTGGTCCCCACCGGCACAACAAAGGGTGAAACTAAACTTTGATGGAAGCTCTATAGGTAATCCGGGCACATCTGGTATAGGAGGTGTATTCAGAGATAATGAGGGCAAGATAATGGCTCTGTATTCAGGTCCAGTAAGAGTTGGAGATTCCTTAAGAGCGGAAATCTTGGCACTACATCCAGGTGTAAAACTGGCCAAACAATTGGGGCTACAGCAGATTGAGATAGAGGGAGACTCCAARTTGGTAATTGGGTGAATGCAATCAGGGCAGCTGGGAATTTGGCAATATAGACAGCTGATAAGGGAAATTCTTAGCATAACAAGGGAGGTGGGTGTTTGTTTCAAGTGGGTAAGGAGATCAGCAAATGGTTTTGCTTACGCCCTAGCAAAACAAGGGACTGTAAGGGAGAGACTTTATTGGGCAGTGCTGTAATGTTTGATGTTTATTGGATCAACCTTTTCTAATAAGAGTTGACTTCTGTATTTCATTTTAATTTATCTCTAATGAAAGTTATCGTTATGTAATAAGATTTGTTGAGGAATCTAATAAGGTGAGGCAAAGGATTATGACTAGCATGAGGAAATTTAATGAATTTATAATTCCTATGAGTTGAAGGAGTTGCCTCTATTGAACAACAATTTTACATGGTCCAATTTGCAGTTGAACCCAATTTGCTCTAAACTTGATAGGTTTCTATTTACAATGGACTTAGAGTTTGTTGGTTTCGAGGGCCTTACCTAGGATAACATCCGCTCATTGGCCAATGTCCTTATCCAAGGATGAATTAAGGGGAAGGGGTCCAACTCCTTTTAGGTTTGAGAATATGTGGTTCTATCACCCAGGGTTCAAAGAGAAATTTAAGGATTGGTAGATAGAGAATAACACGAGATTTCAGTGGGAGGGTATGAAGCTTCGTCAAAACATGAAAGAAATAAAAGAAAAAATAAAGGATTGCAACAGACATCATTTCGGGAGACTAGAAGAGAGAAAGTAGGAGGTAATTGATAAAATTGAGACAGGAGAGAGGGACCTTGAGGAAGGAACTGGAAGACAACTTATTCAAAGAAGAAATAAGTTGGAGAAAGAAGTCCAAACAAACTCGGATAAAAGATAGAAAGAGGAAGAACGTCATATCTAACTTGGATAAGTTTGAAACACAAAGTTCTTCCATGCCTTAGAAATTGATAGAAGGAAGAACTTCATTTCTAAGCTATAGATTGAAGGTGTTTTAATTGAACAACAAACTGAAATTGCCGGAGCTTTTGTGAGCCATTTTAAATCGATATTTAGGAAGCCACCTAGTGAAAGACTAAGTCCGAAAAGGGTTGGATTGGCCAAGGATATTGCGTGACCACAAGTTATAGTTAGAAAAGAGGTTTGGTCTGGAGGAAATAAAGGATGCAGTTTTCTTGATGGACAGAAACAAAGCACCAAGGCCGGATGGTTTTACAATGGCTTTTTACCAAGACTTTTGCGACATCCTAAAAGAAGATATTCTAAGGGTATTCAATGAATTCTTTAGTGGAGGGGTAATAAATCCAAGGTTAAATTCAGCATTCATTGCATTGACTCTGAAAAAAGTTGAGGCAACTCATCCTAAGGATTTTAGACCCATCAATCTGGTAAATGGCCCATATAAAATCATAGCAAAGGCGCTATCTCAGAGAATCAAATCAGTGCTACATTATATTATCTCTCCAAACCAAAGAGCTTTTCTTAAGGACAAGTATATCACTGATCAAGTTTTCATTGCCAATGAGAGCGTGGAAGAGATGAAAAGAACTGGAAGGAAAGGAATAGTTTGTAGGCTTAACTTGGAGAAAGCATATGATTTGATGGACTGGGACTTTCTGTTGGAAGTGATGAGAAGTTGGTTTGGAGGAAAGTAGTGTAAGTGGATTCAAGGATGCTTAAGTACATGTCACTACTCAATCTTGGTTAATGGTACAACTGTGGACCACTTTCCAGCTTTTAGAGGAATTAGACAAGGGGACCCCCTTTCCCCTTTTTTATTCACCCTAGTAGTTGATGTGCTAGGTATCCTAATCCAGAGAGCAGATTTGAGGGGTCTGGTGAAAGGGTGGAGAGTAGGTAGGGAAAGAGAGCCTATTACTAACCAGCAATTTATTGATGATACCATACTATTTTGTGAGGGAGATGATATAACTTGGTTAAGAAATCTGAAAAGGAAGATCCAAGTGTTTGAGAAGATATCAAATCTGAAAATTAATTTCAGTAAGAGCTTGTGGCAGGGATTAATATGGATGGAAGAGAGGTGACAAAATGTGCAACCATTTTGGGTTGTGAAGTTTCCCAATGGCCAATGAATTGTTTGGGATTACCTTTGGGAGGAAACCCGAGTAATGCAATGTTTTTGGAACCTGGTAGTGGACAGGTTTACAAAAAGATTAGCCTCTTGGAAAAGGAATTATCTCTCTTTAGGTGTACAATTAACTCTAATCAAGTCAACTCTAGCCAACTTACCTGTCTACTTTCTTTCAGTTTTCATGATTCCTAGGAGGATTTGTAAAATCCTGGAGAAGTTAATGAGGGGTCTTTTGTGGGAGCCCAAGGGAGGAAAAGGAAGGACCATAGTTAGATGGGAATTGGTAAGTAGAAGTAAGGAGTCCTGTGGCTTAGGGATTGGGAACATCCAGAAGGAATTCAACATTGTTAGGGAAATGGTTGTGGAGATTATCAAGAGACAAGGACAAACTGTGGACAAAGGTGATTATAAGCATCCATGCCTTGGCGGCTGACGGCTGGGATGCCGGAATACTAGTGCGGCACCTTGGAAAGCTATTCATGCCATCCTCACTTTCTACCCTTTGTTAGGTACAGTTTGTGTTCTGGGGATTTGGTAAGATTTTCGGAACATGTGTAAGTGGGTGATTCACCACTTAAAAACCCTGTCCACATCAATTTCCTTCATTATATCCTCTTCGGCTTTAGGACCTGAACTAAATTCGGACTTCAGGTTCAGACAGGGCTTTTGACACTCAGATGTGGACAATGTCTTGGCCTTGATCCAAATCCTCCAAAAGGTTCTCTTGGATCCCTCTAAGTTGGACTCTCGAATTTGGACCCTTTCTTCCTCCAGTTCCTTTACTTGCACCTCCTTTAAAGCCCTATCACATCCTTCTTCCAGTCCTGGGCATTCTTTCCCTATTAAAAAAGTATGAGGGAAACCGATCCCACCAAAGGTTGGGGCATTTTGCTAGGAAATATTCTTGGAAAGAGTTAACACTTGCAGTTTGTTTGAATGCACAGTTTTTTAGACTGCCTTTTTGGGTCTGAATTGCAGTTTGTTTGTGTTGAACAAATTTACTTTACCTTTTCCAAAAAAAAAAAAAAAAGAGTCAACACTTGCAACCTACTTCAAAGAAAGAAGCCTTTTTGGTGCTTGTCTCCTAACTAGTGTACTCTTTATAGAGGCAATGGTGAGTCTTGTTACCACTTATTTATTTCCTCCCCCTTTGTTTCTTCTATTTGGGTTTGGTTTCTTTCTCTGTTTGATTTCAGGTGGACTCCCCCACCAAGCCTACAAAGCCTCTTTGACTCTTTGGATGGTAGCTGGAAAAAAAAGAGGGGAAGAATAATTTGGAGATGTGTACAAGGGCAATGATTTGTTGGACAATGTTAAGAGGAAAGAAACCAAAGAATTTTTGCTGAAAAAGAGAGAAGAAAAGAGGCAATAATAGAAGTGATCACTTCTATGGTGGTGCACTGGGTAAAAACAGTGGAGATATTCAAGGACATTCTTACAGAGACATTGCTAAACAACTGGAAGGAAGTGGCAGGATCCGCTCTAAGCAGAAGTGTTGCTCAACCTCTATGGTCTCCACTTTGATGGAAGCAATGAAGGTAACCCTGGTCCATCAAGGATTGGTGGAGTTATAGGACAGAGGAAGGTTCAGTCATAGCTTTGTTCTTAGGCCCAATTAGTGCGGGGGACACATTGCATGCAGAAATTATAGCCTTGATGGAAGGTATATAAAGGGCTAAGGAATTAAGTGTTAGCAAGCTGATCATTGAATGAGATTCTAAAGTGGTAATAGGTTGGTTAGGGAAGGAAGGTGTGGACATACATTAATGAACGAAAACACTACACATGGCTAACTCAAGGTATGGAGGTGAGAATGCAATGGGTCCGATTCATTTGCAGATGCACTTGCTAAACAAGGGTTGGGAAGGAATCAATTACTTTGGGTTACCCTGTAATGTTGTATCCATTTGGGGGAGGGTTAAGAGAGTTTACCTCCCCCCACCTTTGTAATTGACTATTTCTTATTAATGAAAAGTTACTATTATCGATCAAAAAAAAGTAGAAGGAAGAAGAATAACCACAACTATTAGGGAAAAACTAATGAAGTAATACACAAGATGGATTTTCATAAGCGTGTATTGCAGATAAATGCATTATACGGGTGTCCCTTTCCACTAACCAAGACATGCAGTTCTCAAGGCTCTCATTCAAGGAGGTGCTTTTGCAATTACACCTAAAACATCATCTTAATTTGACAGACAACCAACTCTTTCCAAATAACTTCAAACCAAAGGCCAAATACAAGCAAAAGGTCAAAGGAAACTTACATCTGATCCTTACATGAGGATAACAGTTTCCTATAAATGCATAATACAACTTTTACTGAGCCAAAGTGCTCATTCCGCAAGTCCTTGTAGCATCTTTGCTCTAGGTACTTTGTAATCTGTAGAGAGGAAACAATAAGAAACAACATGAACTGAAAACTTAAAGATGCATAGAGAGACTTAAAGAATTATATTGACCGTCAGGTGCCACAATGCATAACAACCTTTGAGTGCGACCCTAGTACATGATTAGTAACTCACCATGGTTAATCCAAGTGAAACATTAAGAGTGATGATTTTGAATATTGAAATTGAAGAGTTAAGATACCAATAACTGTTAATCAAATTTTAACTTTTTCTCAAGGTTAAATATAAGTTTTTCTTTGTGTAATAGATTATTTACTTGATCTATTACAACCATTTACATTTTCTATGAGTTTAAATTTTGCTTCAACTCATTCTATCATGAAGCTTTGACTCTTAAGGTTAGGGCAACTTCTAAACATATATATTCTTTTCTCTATAAGGCTATGTTTAGTTTGAAGGGAAAAGTAGGAAAACCATACCCTACCTTTCCCTTCTCCTTTCCCTACTTTTTCCTTAAAACCAAACACATCCTTAGTTTCATAGCTTTGTTTAGTGATTTGGAACAAGATAATAATTTAAAAAAGTGTGATTATGCTTCTTTTATCAGTTCATAAAATATTATTCCACATTTCGTACATTTTACAATGTTTCCACCATGTCTATAACTCTTACAATATTTCCATATGTTATTTCCGACATTTCCAACATGTTTCTTATATTTGGACAACCAACATTTCCACTGACACCAACATTTTAAGCCTTGATTCTGGATCACTTCTTACAGCCCATAGATGGGGAAATCCCCCTTCTTTTGACCCTGTCAGAGGTGTTCCATTACTTGTCCCCATCAGCAGTGCAAATGGAACCAACTGACAACTGATACCTCCAAAAACAAAATTCCCACTTTTCAAGGGACTGAAAACTGGAGCAGACCATGGGGTTCACCCAAGTAGAAAACTCAGAACTGCAACCTGATTTGATAACAGTGATAGAAAGAAAGAAAGAAAAGAGTTTCTTAGAGAGAAGAGAAGAGAAGAGGAGAAAGAGAAGCAGAGATGGGAGATGCCAAAAATAATCTGGTCACCCCACTCATTATCTTGTATACTCACAAAATAAAAGAGATTACAATGACTAATATAACCTTGATAGGGTGGATGCTACTAATAACATAAAAGCTGTATTTAAAAGTAAACATAAACTAATGGGCCTTGGGCCCAATAATACTACCTAATGATGCTAAATAAAAAGAAACAAAAAATTGTTGAATATCTCAACAGTCCCCCTCAAGCTGCGAGTAGATGTCACACATTTCCAACTTGCATAAATCATGTTCAAACATATTTCTTGCAACTCAGTAAGTGCATCAGCAAGTTGTAAGTCAGATGAAACATATCGTAGGCACACTTCTCCAGATGTGACCCTTTCTCCTATGAAATGCGTGTCCACTTCTATATGCTTTGTTTCTTCATGTCGAACTAGATTATGGGCAATGTTAATTGCTACTTGATTATCACAGTATAACATCATAAGCATCAACTCCAAGCTCTCCTAGTAAGGACCAAACCAAAAAAAATCTTTAAAATACCATATGCCATATCTCTATATTCAGCTTCTACACTTGACCTAGCTATAACTGGTTGCTTGTTACTCTTCCATGAAATCAAATTACATCCAACAAGAGTACAAACTCCTAATGTAGATCTCTTGTCATCTAGGCACCTTGCCTAATCAGCATCTGTGTAAACTTCTAGCTTCAAATGTCCATGACCAGCAAACAATATCCCTCTATCTAAGTGTCCTTTCAAATAGGCAAGTATCCTATCAATGGCTTCCCAGTGCTAAACTCGTGTGGCATGCATGTACTAACTCACCACACTAATTGCATAGGATATATCTAGTCGTGTCATTCACAAGTAATAGCAACCAGCCCACCAATCTCTGATACCTCCCAACATCCTTTAGGATCAAAAACTTTTTTGCAAGGCCTCATGCCCTTTAGATTTGACAATATGTGGCTGACACATCTAGATTTTGTTCACAAAGGAATGGTGGCAGCTTGGCAGGAGGATGTTTTGGGGGGGGGGGTGACAATTGAGAGCTAAATTAAAGTACAGGAATAGGGAACATTTTGGAAGGATAGAAGAAAGGAAAATTACCCTAACCTCTCAGATTGAAGAACTAGATGAGGTGGATATTGAAAGAAACCTTAATGCGGAAGAAAGGGAATTGAGATGGAAGTGGAAAAAAGAATTGGAGGAAGCCCTTAAAAGGGAGGAAATCTGTTGGAGACAAAAATCAAGACACAAATCAATCAAGCAATGGCCAATGGTAGAAGGTGTAAGAACTTTGTGGCCAGATTGGAGGGTTTCCTTTTTAAGATAAATAAAAAATTTTATTAAAACAGGAAAAAGGATACATGAAAAGGTGATAAGCAATCACCTAAATGAAATGAAAACACCCAAAGGACAGCCCACTAAAGCTTAACACCTTTGAATGCCAAACCCCCCAAAATCCAAAACCTCGACAACCAAGCCCCAAAACAAGCAAAAAGCACCAAGAGGAAACAGCATAAGAAACCCAAAAAAATACATACAGCACTCAGAACAAAACAGAACCACCACCCGAGACCCATAGCAGACCCACAGAGGATTCCGAACTACTTGTTAGTTTTTTTTACTACAATATTCCCAGTTTCTTCTAGCTGCACTTTTGTTTTTCCTTACTTTCTTGTTAGGTCCAAGGCGAAACAAACCTCCCTTTACTCTTGCGAAAAGCTTTGAAACCAGTATTTGTTGTTGACTTCTCTTAATCTTCTTACTGTATTTATTCCTCCACCGTCTGCTTCTAGCTTCCCCTCAGAACTCTTACCCCTATATCCGGAACAATCTCCCCCTCCAAAACCTCTTCCCTTTCCTTTAAGGAATTCCCACTGCCTCCATAAAACTTTTTCAAACCTTGGTTTGTTAAATTACTTGATTTTCCAATCACCACTATATCATTTTTAAATTTCTTCTCCCCATTCCTTTCCTCCACGGACCTGAAGGCTTCCTTCGCAAACTTCTCCCCTCCTAGGAAAAATAAACCCAGAATTTTGCTAACTTCCAATTCCTTATTTACAACTTTTTCAATGTCACATGTACCCTCCACCTGATGTGTCTCATCTATCAACAGATCATTCTCACTTTCCTCCACTGAGTCTGAGTCCTCCCCTGTGTCCATATTCAATCCCCATTCTCCGTTTTCTTCTAAGGCTCAGTTTGGAAGGAGTACAAATACAAATATGTACAGTGCAAATACATACAAAATAATAAAAAAATACAAGGTTTTGCACTCTACAAATTTGCATTTGTACTCCTTCCAAACTGAGCCTAAAGGAAAAGTTCCATATTTTTTTCCTTTTATAAGTTCTTACTCCACATCTATTCTTGTCGCTTCCCTCCTCACTTCCCCCTCCTTCATTCCCTACTCCTCTCTCCCCTTCTTTTCCTCTAAATCATTATTCCCTTCCCTCCCTCTATCCCTTCTCACCTCCTCCTCTTCTCTTACTTCCTCTACCCCTACAACCCCAAACACCATAGCTCCTTGACTACTCTCCCCCCCTCTTCCCCAATTGCACCCCCATCTCCTTCCCTCCCTCACATCCCTTATCCCCCTCTTCACTTTTTTCTTCTTCCGTTATCTCTCTTTGCTCTTCCATATCTCTACTTTTCAGATCTTCCGTAACATCTTCCTTACCATCAGGACCTTCTTAACGCTTCACCTTCCTCTCCTTTTTTCTGACGAAGAGATTTGCCTTCAAAGCAGTTTTGGGCTTCTTCCTTTTCTTCCTCACATCTCTTTTCTTCCTTGTTGAACTTCTCTATAAGCGAAAAAGTCTTCTTTTTAGGGAAGAACTTTACTTTTCTCCAAACGAATCCTTCGGCATCATTGATAGCCTCTTCTATAATTTTTTTAAAGGATAAAAAGAAATTTCATTAAACCGAAAAAAAAGCAGTAATTTACAGGATAATCATCTGGAAAAATCCAAGGAGGCAGTTGTAGAAAGGATAATCATTATGACTATTCAATGGTTGAAAACTTTGGATTTGCTTAAAGACTTCTCAGCTGAAGACATTTACAGGAATTGGGAAGTGGTGGCATCTACAACTTCCATAAAACCTATTGTGCAGGAATTGTGGTCCCCACCAACACAACAAAGAGTGAAATTGAACTTCAACGGAAGTTCTAGAGGTAACCCAGGCCCTTCAAGTACAGGAGGAGTATTCAAAGAAGAAAATGGAAGAATTGCGGCTATGTTTTCAGGACCAATAGGAGTGGGGGACTCATTGAGAGCGGAGGGGTTGGCCTTGCTTCAAGGTGTAAGATATGCCAAACAATTGGGGTTACACCAAATTGAGATAGAAGGAGACTCTAAATTGTTGATTGAGTGGCTGCAATCTAGAAAGTTGGGAGCCTGGATTTCTAGACAGCCCATAAGGGAAATCCTCAACACAACAAGGGAGATCGGTGCATGCTTCAAATGGACAAGGAGATTAGCTAATGGTTTAGCTGACACGTTGGCTAAACAAGGGATTGTGAGGGAGAGAATGTTCTGGGCAGTTTTGTAAGAAAGATTACTGAGGCTCAACACCTGTTTAGGGGTTGACAGTTGTACTTAACTCTGGAAAGTAATTCTTAAATTGTATTAATGAAGTTACTGTTTCCAATAAAAAAAAAAGCAGTACATCTCAAAATGTTGGTTGTCTAGTTAACAAACCAACAACATAACAGAGTTACACTATAAAAGAGTCTCAAAATTACAAGGATTCAGTTCCAAAGTGCATCAAATACCCTTGAAAACCATAAAATTTACAGCTCCCCCCAACATCCCCTACTCTACCCACTCTCCTCCCTCTTCACCCCATGCTTCAAAGCATGATCCTCACTATCTCCCTCTTCCATCCCTCATATCCCTAACATTCCAACTGAGAATCCACAACTTCCTCCCCTTCTCCCCGTCTTCCCCCTCCCCCCAATTCACTCAATCTCATCCAACCCCTCCTCTTCTCCTCCTTCCTCATCCCACCCCTTTATTTTTTCTAGATATTCTTCCCTCCAATGTTTTAAAATGAAGAGGCATGATGCGAGGCGTTCCACTACCTAGAGGCATGAGGCATAGTTCAGAATGCAAGAGGCGTAAGCCTCCTGAACATAAGGAGGCATAAGTTCAGAACGCAAGAGGCATAAGCCTCCCGAACAAGGCAAACCATACATATTGTTAACAATCCTATACAACATGATTGGACTAAAAAACTGAGGTTGGCAAACACTTCATTAGAGAAGTTTGCTTGTGGACATATGATCAATTGAACAAAGAGTTACTAGAGTCAAATTGCAGACTATGGAAAGTTGAGCATACAAAACATCTATGCTCCACTTTTTTTTTTTTGATCAATAACAACAGCTTTATTAATTATACGAAAATTGTGAAACTTTAGATACAAAAGGGGGAGATAAATTGTCTTTAGCTCCCCATCAACAGAATACAATGAAAGAAAATTAAAAATTAGCCCAAAAGATTGACTCCCTATTCACCCCTTGCTTGGCCAACCCATCCGCAAATGAAGCATTCCTCTTCACCCAGCTGTATTGTATCTCAATGTCCCTACACAGCCAATAAGAACTTTTTCTTTTCATTGTTGTAGCTCCACAATCCACTGTCCTCCTTCTTCAACCAACTAACCACCACCTTTGAATCACCTTCCAAGATCAAACGGCTGATATTTATTTCCCTTGCTCTTTGAATTCCTTCCAGCGCTGCAAGAATCTCAGCCCTAAGAGAGTCACCTTCTCCAATAGGGCCTGAGAACAAAGCAATAACAATCCCTTAAAGTGTGTTAAACTTATTATATGGGAGTATTTTTTCTACTATTTTAATGTAATGTGACATAACTACCTAATAGAATAGGAGAAAACCCAATGAATTCTTTTACCCAACCTCTCATATCATCCTATCTCTTCTCCTCTCTTTTCCCATTCTACCGCATACATCCTAAACAAGCACACAAAGGCACATAATAGTCTTCTATACAAAAAAAAGGGCCTAAATAAGATGAATTGAGGTTTTTGGTTCTTACCAGTGTTGATGATTGGAAATGAGCAGTATTTTTAATAAACCTTTGAGCTATTTTTTGGAATGAGGATCACTGTTTAATCAAGCTATGGCGCCAACTCCATAGAAGAACTTCAAGAACTAGGATTTAGCTGACATAGGAAAGCTTGCCTCACATGTGAGAGTACAAGGTTCAATACCATGCATCTCCGATTTTTCATGCCGACTTTTCAAATTCATCATTGATGTTAGCTCTTAGCCTCTCATAGAGGAACAGGGTAAAGTCTTCTATGGGGAGGGGGTTTTCATACTCTAGATCTGGTGTCAGTTCTGTCCTTGGCATCTTATAACTTAACACAGATTAAAAATATATTGGTTCACAAAAAAAAGGAAGTAACATATTTGGGACTTGAGCACATGGAGTGCTCCTTTCTTTTCCCTCAGCCTTGTAAGTGGAACCCTCCAGGTGAAGGCTCTTGACCACAAATACTAATCATTCTCACAGCTTTGGAGTATTCATTAGAAACTACTTTAAGTTTAGAAGGCCATAGTTGCATCCTGAGCTGGTTGTTCCCCCAGCCTAGTCATCAAACACAGGCTACAAGGAACTAATCAAAAGGCGGAAGATTGCACAAGATGGAATAACTGGATTAACCACGTGCTATATCAAAATATCAGGCTAGAAGGCTGTGGTAGAATAGTACCCTGCCATAGTACAGACCCGGATTCGATTCCCGGCTGGTGCAATCAACATTGGTTTCTAGTTTCTTTGCATTTTGTCAGGAGAGGCTGCAGCTCGTGCCTCTCCAAGGGCTCTTGTATGATATTGTAAATCTGAATCAGTTTCTGTTTTAATAAAATTCCATTATTATTCATCAAAAAAAAAGGCTGTGAAGAAATAAGAATGTTAAATTCAACTGACAAATCAATACAGATTTTTTGCTCGTAAGGATTGGTGCACAAACTGAAAGAAACTAACCTTGATGTCTTATTGCCTTACTTTTTTTCTTTTTAACATTGATGTCTTTCATTGCATTATTTATGGATAATATACTAATATATCTGATCGGACTTCAAGGTGCACCTAAAACAAGCTTAACCAACAAAATGGAAAGAAGACAGAGAATTCAAAATGCTTCAAAAGAAACGGACCCACCAGATCAACACAGCAACAACCTGAATGGAAAAGATAAACCATACCTTTGGAATACGTAATGGATTCTTTGAAGCATATTCACAAAGCTTCCCAATTTTCCTATCATTCGGTTCTGCATCCTACCAAAATATGAAGAGAAACTCATAAACAAACAATAATTCATTATCAGGGTTGAACTAAATGTCGAATCATAATGTGGAAAATCCATTTAAATCTTCTTATATCAGTCATAAGACTGAAGCTATTCCGGAGATCCATTTTAGAATCTCATTTTCAAATAGAATAAAATAGCAAAATAAATACAAAACGGATGCTAGATTCTCCACTTCCAGTTTCCACAGTCCAATAGTAAATTGCAACAGTAAGAAACTAAATTACTTCAACTGGGAAAAAAAATCTAAAACAATATACATATTTAAAAGAATCTGAAAATTTAACACCAAAGTTTCATTGGCATAGATCCAACTTATCAAGACTAGATAATGCAAAAGTGTGAACTTAAGAGAACAAGAATCGAAATAACACAATAACTAGCAAAAAGAAATTGCTTGACAGCATTCCTCACTGAACCCAAATGCTAACCAAATTTAAAAAAAAAAAAAAAAAACTAAGAAAATAATTCTGAAGGCTTCAAGTAAAGGAATAAAAGAAATCACCTGAGATCGAGGGAATATATCGGAAAGGAGCTTCTTGTACCGCTTCACAGGCTGTCTGGACCTTGCCCGCATTGAAGGACAGAAGAAACAGAGGTTGCCGCAGACGGGTACAACCCGCCTCGACATGACCCCCATTTTCGCTAAAGAAATCCAAACTCCTCTTTATCGAATCTAGAAAGCGAGTTTACAGCAAGATACCAGAACTAGCCAATAAACCAATCAAAATGAAGATTACTTTCTGAGGAATTTCTTTCTGAGCCTTTCAAGAATTGGGTCTAATTGAGTTAAGATAACCAAAATGTCTGGTCGAAAAGGATCAAACAAAAATGAAGGAAATTTGACCGATTCACAAAATTGAAGCAAAACTCCCAAAATCAAAGAGCAATACAACAATCCAAATGAGAAAAGTTTCTCCTTTTCTGATCAAATCCAGCTCTTAATTAAGGATCTGATTCCTGCAAAAGAAAAAGAAATCAAAAGCCTCAACACTGCAAAATCTTAGCGCTGTTTGACAAAAATTAAAAGGAAAGGAAACTAGATTCGATAGATGGCCTTTACAAGCTGAAAATAATTATTCCACACCAATAATTAAAATGTGAGATTTATCGAAATCTGGCTGGATCACTTTGAAGAAATTTACCTCAGTTTATAGCCGAAGGGGGGAAGAAGCTTCAATCCCCCAGGCGATTTTTCTTTCCCCCACAGGCATTAACAAGTAAAATAACGGCTATATTTAAATTCTTATTAAGAAAAAAAAATTAAATTAATCATTATTGTCGCTTTCTGTCACCAAAGAGTAAAGTAACAAAATATTCCAGCTAAATGTGATGATGGTGCTTTCAAAATCCCGCTGCCAACAAGGTTTGGGGGCTGAAGGGGTGGGGTTGGCTAAAAAAACCATGCAAATGAAGATCACAACCGTGGATGATAAAATGGCTCTCACTGAAATTAAATAAAAGGATATATAATTATATCCCCTGAGGTTTTACTTCAACAAAAATCTCCCTGTAAGTTTCTTGATCTTTCCAAGGTGCCAACAGCCGGTTGGTAAGCTCTCTGCTGGTCGTAGCGGAGACTTGGGATCGAATCCACCTACCCATGGTGGAGGGGTAATGCCTTGATGGGTACGCTGTTGTATTCTTTTGACCGTATTTTAATAAATTATTATATGAATCGATAGATATAATGGTGAAATGTGTATTTTTTAATTCACAAAAATTTTGAGGGAGGTTTTAAATTTTAGGCAATTTGTCTAAAATTCACCATGAGTTTTCAATATTTCTCTTAGATTAACTATAACTTTTCAAAAATGCCTAAAACTCACCATGTCGGTAAGATTTTATTTTTCAAAACTCATTACACTTAAGAAATGTGTCCATGCCATCATAAATAACAACTTTCATGACCAAATTATCCTTGAATGATGAGTTAGAGGAAAAATGGTCTTTTCAGGTTTCAATTTTCTTGTTTTTTTTTTGCATTTTTAATGTTTTTTATAATTTCTTTTTTTACATTTTTCTATTTTCTACAATCTATAAAGTTTTGGTGTTTTTTCTATAATTTTTATTTTCTGATTTTGTTTTTCAATTCCCATAGTTTCTATAATTTGAAAATAATTTTTTATTTTGTTTATAATTTCTATAATTGTTTATATTTTTTGTAATTTCTATGTTTTTATATATTTTATATTTGAAAATATTTTTTTGAACTTTTTCCTTTCTTATGTCTAAATATTAAAATGGTAATATATTAACACCCATTAATTTATTTCGTATATATTTTATATTTTTCTATGAAGGTTAAAATGGTAATATATTAATGCTCGTTAGTCTGTTTAACGTCAAGTTAGTGACATGGTGAGTTTTAGACATTTTGAAAGTTGTGATGAGTTTAAGAGAAATGCTGAAAATTACCCTAAATAAAATAGAAAAATGTCCAAAACTCACCATAACTTTTCAACATTCCTATTAAACTCACCATAACTTTTAAAAACATTGAGTGAACCCATGTCAATGACTTTTTGTTTTCCAAAACTAACCATCCATTAAAGCACAAGTAACGTTCATTAATAGAAGTTGTCCATGTCATCAAAAATGTATTTTTATGACCAAACTACCCCTGAAGAGCATGTTAGCCTTATTAAACATATTTTTTATGTCAGCCTATTTTTTATTCAATGCACCTTTGTTCTCACATATGATAAAAGTTAGTGTTGGGTCCTACGGAGCTACGTGTCCTCTTATTGACCATGGATATTTTCTTGATCTCAGTTCTTATTGCATTTGAAATTAAAAGGGATAAAGTGATACTTGTGTTGTGTAAGTAGATATGGAGCGTCAAATGAGTTTGATTTGAATCAAAAGTGTTATTTTTTTTATTTGAAGCACACTTTTTAGTTAAATATGTGAAATAAGGAGAATTGTTTTTTAAACTGAACTATTTGATATATTATTTGTTGTTTTTATTGGTTTTGCTTTATTTCCTATTAACAATAGAACAGAGGGTCAAATAGTAATCTACCAACATCCGTTAGTCTATTTAACATCAATTTACTAACATGGGGTTCTCTAGACATTTAGAAAAGTCATGGTGAGTTTAAGAGAAATGTTGTAAAAGTCATTGTGAGTTTTAGACAAACACCCAATAAAATAAAAAAGGATACAACCCTCTTAACTTTGTTTTGTCATAGAGAGCTCCTATATTCCTTGGGGCTCAATTTGGAAGGAGTACAAATGCAAATATGTAGAGTGCAAAACCTTATATTTTGTATTATTTTGTATGTATTTGCACTGTACTTATTTGCATTTGTACTCCTTCCAAGCTGAGCCTAGATTTCAACACTTTGCCCCTGCCAACCAAACTAAGTTTAGATCTGGCATCAACAAAGTGCTCCCAACATGTTCCAATGGGCCATTGCAACCACACATTGGGAACATCTTCCGTATGAGTGACAAGGAAGATTTTCCTAATGTGTAGTTGCAATCAAGGTTCAAAGTATCGATATGTATCATATTAGGCTTCGATATGCCCCTACAAGGGGTGTTTCGGGTTGGCAAATGGTTCAGGGGGTAGACTAGCCTTAAACCAGCCCCTCTTAACCATATTCAAAAAATAAAAAAAAAAAACAAAAAAAAAGACTACCGATATAGGCAGATATGCCCTACTGGTGTATCACCTTGTATCAATACTTTGAACCTTGGTTGCAATTGCTTGTTGAGATTCAAAGCATTTTGTTGGTAGTGGATCAATATACCCTTGTATAATTTATTAAGTCTATATGTTTTTCTAACTTGGCTTTTCTGAAAAACTAGCTCTTGCTTCTTTAAGGATGGTAGTAGTACATGTCCGCAAATAGTAAAATAATGGTTAGAAGTTCGCGTAATGAATATGTACAATTGTACCACGAAAAAGAAGATTCTTGTGGTAAGTAGGGGTGTCAATTGGACTGAATTTGGTCCAATCCGGTCCAGTCCAATGTGAGTCCATTACAAATGGACCTGGTCCAATCCAGTGCAATGAATATTTTGGACCATTTTGGACCAGTCCAGAGACTGTCCAATCTTTTCAAATTCCTGTTAATTTAGATTGGTTTCAACTCAAACCTGGTCCGTTGACACCTATGTTCTTATCTTCTATCAATGGACCAGATATTGGTTCAATCCAACAGAAATTCATTATGGACGGACCAAGTCCAATCCAAAACCGGTCAATATTTTATATATATATATATATATATATATATATATGTATATGTATAAATTAATCCCCGGAAAAATGAGCTATTAAGATAAACTTAGATGCATTGAGGAAAGAGGATGGGAGGTGTGCAGTTAGAGTTATTGGAGTTATTGCAAGAGATAACCTTAGAATGAAGGGCTCTATACGGCATCAATAGATATTTAGGTGTGTGCACAATTAATGAAGTAGAGGCTTGGGCAGCTCTGGAAGCTCACTTGATTGCAACTTAGTTCAAAAGAATGATCATCACCGAATGAGAATCAAAGCTAGTTACTAACCATCTTCAAGGTATCCTAGATCCCCATGCTACATTGCACCCATTATCAAAGAATGCTATCAGACATGCATCAGTTTCAAAATGACCATTGTGTACGTGCATGCGTTAAGGGAAGCCAACTTTGCGATGGATTAGTTAGCCAACCATGGTCATGTAAACCAAATCTTGTTTCTTGTTTTAGATCCAACTCTTCGTGTACATAATTTGTTTTAGTGATGCATGGGGTCGAGATAACCCTCGTGGTTTGTAGCCTTTTTGTTGTCTTTTTCCTATATATAAAAATAATAATTGCATCTTCAACACCTTGAATAAGTGGTGGTTTATTTTCGAAAACAGTGATTTAGAATGTGTATTTTTTAGTGTAAAATATAAAAACCTCTCCTCGGTTTTTCTGACAATCATATAAGCTTCCCCTATATTTTGACTGTAAAAAAACCTCCCTTCTAATTTTGAACGAAGGTGCAAATATCTCCCTTTGTTTGACTTTTGAATAATTGAGTTGTTAAAATTACTTAAATGCCCTTATTTCCATTAAGCATTGTCCTATCTAATTTAAAATTTCAACGACAAAAAAAGGGTAACCTGGATCGAGTCACCTCATTGCCATGTTTAACAAATCCATCCCCATCTCCCTTATCCCTTGATCCCCACCCCATCACTCAATCTTACACCAGCCTAATTGAAATGAGGATCTGAAACAGCATTATCTCTAAAGCTACTCATCCCCGAGCTTTGAGAGGTGTGGAAGGACACTTGCCCCCTAGCACGAAGAAACTATTACCAATGAGGAGATAATAGCTAACCCAAAGGAGCAGTCATGGTTTTTATGGTATATGAATCAACTTTTGGGGGGTTTGAGAGGGGAGAAAGTTGGTTAATGTGATTTTGGTTCCTATTGTCAAGAATTCCATGTTCTTTTTTTAGATTTATGCGGGATCAGGGAAAGTTTATTTTTCTCGGTATCACTTACTCATATAAGTAATACCCATCTCCTAAGTGGATAAATAACTTTCCGACATGGGGAAAATTGGCAGCACTTGAATGAAACAAGAATGACCCTTTTAATAATGAATTTTTATGGCTAAAATGGGCATTGACTTATTTACCTGGGAAATAAAAGAACATGGGTATGCATTTATCCGAATAAGTGTATCCTAAGAAAAACTTACCCAGATAATTGCATTTACCCGAGTAAATAACTTACCAAAAAATGAACAGGGCCTTGATTTCCATTCGATTCAAATCTCTATCTAATTAAATTAAAGTTCCCTAAACCATGCTTATTGTCAACAAATTAACCACTTTTACTCATTCTGATGCACCATCTTCAGGAAGATTTAATGATTGTTCATGAACCTTAAATTATTTCCTAATAAATGAATTTTTCAATGTTATTAAGGACTCCATTGAAGTTTCTAACCATTCCAGAAAAACCCAGTTTTGAATTCTCTAGTTTTGCTTTCATTATTTGGCTGTGTTGTCTAATTTGTTAGTTCCATCTTGATAAAAATTTTGGACATCAACTTTTCTGATAAGTTGGATTTAAGACTTCTTCTTGAACTCCACGCATTAAAATGTTTACTTGAGCTTGATCATTGACGTATTTAAGGAATCGACGGATCCGTATCCTTTCACTTCTTTACCGAAAAAAAAAACACAACATTTTTCACTCCATCATTCTTTAAAGATGACTATTTTTCTAAAACAATCCCCAAGAACTCTTGAAATCAAACATGATTTTATCTGGTTCTTTCCTTCTCGTACCTGCAGGTTTCTTATTCGAAGTCCCCTTGATTTCTCCACCCTTAATTAGGGGTGAGCAAAATAAACCGAAAAGCCGAACTGATGGAAATCAAACTAAAAACTCAGTTAATTGAACCAGTCGGTTCAGTTTCGGTTCACCTTTAAAAAAACCGGTGGTTAACCAAACCGACCGATATATGTATACTAATATATATTATATTTTATTTTATTTTTATATTTTTTAATATCCAATAGGCTTCTCTTTGTGTTTTTCTCTTTTAAAGTTTTAAGTATAGTCCATTCTCTTTCTGACTTTCTA